TCAGCTCCAACTAAGTCAATGGTGATGTTAATTGAGACTGAAAAGGGGTAGGTCACCAAACTAACTGATATCCATAAAGATAGGACGGTAGGATTTAAAATATCCACCACATCTAACCACATCCTAGTCTCTGCAACCTTTGAACATGTCCTTATATGACTGTGAGAAAAGCCTTTTTTCTATCAAAGTAGTTTGCTTCCTTTCTGTTAATTTTGTGAGAAGTGTTTTTCTGAAAAGTGCCAGCAGGTTGGCCCCTGTTAATTACATTTTAGTTACATCCTTTTTCTGCTGCACTTTAAGACATCCTGTTAGCAGGGAGAGGGTGGCTCATGCCTGTAATCCTAGCTACTCAGGAGGCTGAGATCTGAGGATCTAGGTTCAAAGCTAGCCCAGGCAGGAAAGTCCATGAGATTCTTATCTCCGGTTAACTACTAGAAAACAGAAGTGGCACTGTGGCTCAAGTGGTATAGCGCACTAGCCTTGAACTGAAGAGCTGAGGGATAGCATCTAGCCCCACGACTGCCAAAAAAAATTAATTACATCCTGTTATCTAAACCACATCCTTTTCAGATTGTGAACTTGAGCTCAGCCAATGCAAGCAGGGGAGCAGAGCCTACTGAGTTAGGGATAAAAAAAAAAAGGGAGCTGTGTGCTTAAGTGTCAGATTTCTGACTGATAGTGCACCCCTTGGCAGAAGTAAGCCTTTTGCCTTGCAAAGTTCTTTTCAAGTAGTATTCCTTATTCCTACAACAACTCAAGCTAATTTTAACAGTGACAAAGGGCGGGGGGGGGGGGGGGGGGGGGGGGAGAACCAGCCACAGGTGGCTCATACATATAATCCTAGCTACTCAGGAGGCTGAGCTCTGAGGATCCCAGTTCAAACCCAGCCTGAGCAAATTCAAGACTTATCTCCAATCCACCAGCAAAATGCCAGAAGTAGAGGTGTGTCTTAAATGGTAGAGTGCCAGCCTTGAGTGAAAAAGCTAAGGGACAGTGCCCAGGCCCTGAGTTCAAGTCCCAGTAGCTACACACACACACACACACACACACACACACACACACACACACACACACGCAGGACATTTCAGATTTGAAATGAAGTGTGGATCCTGGGCCCTAAATGCAATCACAAATGCACTCATAAGAGAGAGCAAGCTAGTGGACAGGAGAGAGCTAAGGCAGAACAGCAGAGGCAGTGGGGCCGCAGAGGCAGAGGTGGGAGCAACATGGCCTTAAGTTAAAGAACACCTGTAACAGGAAGCAGCAAGGAAGGATGCTCCCTGGAGGCTGCCTGGGCAGCATGACCCTGCTGATGCCTCGGATGGTAGAAAAATACATTTCTGTCGTGTGAAACCACTGGGTTTGCAGTCATTTGTCACGGCAGTTCCAGGAGGCTAATGCTGCAGGGAAGGAAGTGTGGAGCTTGGCCTGCAGAGTAAGTGCACTGGAGTCTCAACCTGCCCATGCAAGTCTCACCCTGCAGGCCTAGCCTGAGCTGGTCACGGCCACCCCTCTGACCTCACCCCCACTACCTCTTCTGGTGATTCTCCTCCATCACCTGCTTGGACCATGACTACACCACTGAGTCTCTGCTCAACTGTTTCCTTTGAGTTCCCTCCCTGGTCCATCACCTCCACCTTGCTCATCTTCCTCCCCCTCCCACACACATACCACACACACACACACACACACACACACACACACACTTATTTTCTTCCTAGCATTTATTGCCACCTGAAAAAAAAAATGTGTGTCTTGTGAATGCATGTGTACTAGCTGTCTGTTTTCTTTTCTTTTCTTTTCTTTTCTTTTTTTTTGGGGGGGGGGGGTCCAGTCGTGGGGCCTGAACTCTGGGCCTGGGCGCTGTCCCTCAGCTCTTCAGCTCAAGACTAGCGCTCTACCAATTGAGCCACAGCGTCACTTCCGGCTTTTTCCTTTTTGCTTATGTGGTGCTGAGAAATCGAACCTAGGGCCTTAGGCATGCAAGGCAAGCGCTCTACCACTGAGCCACCTTCCCAGCCCTGTTTTATTTTCTTGATAGCTGTCAGTTAGTGGATTCCACTAGAAGTTTTGCTCCGTGAAGACAAAAACCTCACTTTCCCCCATGGTAGCACCTTTCATGCAGTCCTATAAAGTAATAGAGGGCTGACTATGTGCTAGGCACTGCTGCTCTGTGTGTTGAAGATTAAACAAAGTGTACCGTCCAAGAGAGCTTACCTTCTACCGGGGAGACAAGAAAACCAGGAAGCAGATATAAGCCTCAGGTCACGTGATGGTGCAGGGTGAGGGGTAGGAAGTTCCCAAGGTGGGATGATTAATCCAGTTTACCAATTTGATTGTGGTTGGATCAAGAGCTGCCTGGGAGATTGCTAAAGTACACTCCTGGGTGAGTCTGCAGGGCCTTGGTAGGGAGAGACTGGAAGGATGGGAGGCAAAGTCCCTCATTCAGCCGCTCTGAAGGCTGGAACACTGCACTGGCAGGACTACCCACAGAGGTCTGAGTAGGACACAGGCCCCCAGGCTACCGCCACCTCCAAGGGCTTCACAGGACCTGCTAAGGCCACAGAATCTGAGCCCTGGGAAGTCTGTGGGGTTGTGGGTACGGTCCTCCTTCTGTTTCTTACTGTTCTGCAGCTTTTCATCTCTTTCCCTCCTTTCTAAGGCTCTTTGCCATTCCAGTTCCTCCCTCACCTAAGATGATGCCCCAGGCTTCTGATAAGGGTCTATGCACCTTTGTCCTCCTCCAGCCTTCAGGGTCCTTTACATCCTCCTGCAGACAAGATGTAGAGCTGAGCCAGCACAGTTGTAGCAACTCTGGAGGCTGAGATCTGAGGATCTGTGTTCAAAGCCAATGAAGGCAGGAAAGTCCATGAGACATTTTTTTCTTTTCTTTTCTTTCTCTTTTTTTTTTTTTGTCATGGGACTTGAACTCTTGGCCTGGGCTCTGTCACTCAGCTCTTCAGCTCAAAGCTAGCGCTCTACCACTTAAGCCACAGTGCCACTTCCAGCTTTTTCGGTTTATGTGGTGTTGAGGAATTGAAGCCAGGGCCTCATGCATGGGAGGAGAGCACTCTATCACTGAGCCACCTTCCCAGCCCCTCCATGAGACTCTTACCTCCAATTAAGCATCAAAAAAGCCAGAAGTAGAGCCGTAGTTCCAGTAGTAGAGTGCTAGGCTTTAGCGAAAAAGTGCAGGGACAGCACCCAGGCCCTAAGTTCAAGCCCTCCAGGATTGGCAAAAAATAAAAAGGATGTAAGCTAGGCACTGGTGACTCATATCTGTAATCCTAGCCACTCAGGTGGCTGAGATTTGAGGATCACAGTTTGACCAGCCTAAACTTTTATTTCCAATTAACCATTAAAAAGCCAGAAGTAGAGCTGTGGCTCAAGTGGTACAGGGCTAGCCTTGAGAAAAAAAGAAAAACTCTCAGGGACAACATTCAGTCCCTGAGTTTAAGCCCAAGGACTGGCACACAAAATAAAACAATAAATTTAAAGATGTAGAGCTAGACCCAGTGCTGGTGGCTCACACCTATAATCCTAACTACTCAGGAGGCTAAGATCTGAGAAAAAGCCAGACGAGGTGATGTGGCTCAAGTGGTAGAGTGCTAGCCTTGAGCACTAAAACTCAAGGACAGTACCCAGGCCTTGAGTTCAAGCCCCAGGACTGACAAAAAAACAAAGTATTTGTCCCTCCTCAACTCTGTCATATTGCCAAGTTATGTTACAAGGTCATTGAACTAACACATTCCTCTACACAAACAGGTCCTGTTGCCTCATGCCCCTGGCCAGTGCTTCATATGTTCACAGTTGTGAGATCTTACCAGTGGCTATTGTGGTTGGATTTGGTCTCACTGTTGCCTACTGAAGCATCTTCCTACTATTTATATATTTTTTGTCAGTCATGGGGCTTGAACTCTGAGCTTAGGCACTGTCCCTCAGCTCTTCAGCTCAAGGCAAGCACTCTACCACTTGAGCCACAGCACCACTTCCTGTTTTTCTGAGTGGTTTATTGGAGATAATAGTCTCGGACTTTGCTGCCTGGGCTGGCTTTGAACCTGGATCCTCAGATCTCAGCCTCTGTAGTAGCTAGGATTACAGGCGTGAGCCACTGGCGCCTGGCACATCTTCCTACTAAAAAAAACACAGGTTTTTTTTCCCTCACAAAGGAAGAGACTCCCTACCACTGTCTCTCAGTCATGGAAGGATTGTGCACATTGTAGTGAGATGTGGGTGCTTCTCCCTAGAATGTACATAATAAAGGGGGCAGAAACTTTTTTTCGGGGGGGTGGGGGGGGAAGGGGGTCCGGTCATGGGGCCTGAACTCTGGGCCTGGGCACTGTCCCTCAGCTCTTCAGCTCAAGGCTAGCGCTCTACCACTTGAGCCACAGCGCCACTTCCGGCTTTTTTTTTTTTTTTTGCTTATGTGGTGCTGAGGAATCGAACCCAGGGCCTCAGGCATGCAAGGCAAGTGCTCTACCACTGAGCCACCTTCCCAGCCCCGGGGCAGAAATTTTTTTGGTTGGTATTGGGGTTTGAACTCAGGGCCTCTAGCTTGGCTGGTGTTCCACCATTTGAGCAATACCTCTAGTAAGGTATTGGGTTGATTATTTTGGAGATCTAGTCTCATGGACTTTTCTGCCCGGGCTGGCTTTGAACCTCCAGTCCAGATCTCAGCCTCCTAGGTAGCTAGGATTACAGACCATGAGGCCCCAGCACCTGGCTAAGGATTTTGTTTTGGGCCTTACCTTATCCACAGCCTTGAATAAGCATCAGGCCATAACTCTCCGGAAATACTTTAACAAGGATACAGGTGAACGAAATTTAATGAAATGAGGGGATGCGTCACGGGTAATGATCCATCTGACTCTTCCAGGGCCTTTCAATCCACAGGTTTTACTCCCACTGTCGCCGTTGGGCTGCGGTTCGGGTTTCGGCCGCCAGAGGGCGCGGAGAGGCGAGGTTTCCCACCCGGAAGGCTTTTCGTGAGGCACCGCGCGGGGCGGGGCCTGCGGGGCGGGGCCTGAGGAGCCGGGTCGAGCAGAGCAGCGAGTGGAACGCAGAGGCGGGGCTGGGGCTGTGCAGCGGCAGCCGGAGCGGTTTCAGGAGCGCACGGGGCGAAGATGGCGGCGGAGCGGCAGGACGCGCTGAGGGAGTTCGTGGCGGTGACGGGCGCTGAGGAGGACCGGGCCCGCTTCTTCCTCGAGTCGGCCGGCTGGGACTTGCAGGTTCGCGCCGCGAGGCGGGCCGCGTCGGGCGGGCCGGGGGGCTGCGGGACTCGGGCGGCGGGGACCCGGGGCGGCCGAAGCGCACCGTCATCCCTGCGGGGCCGGGGCCCGACCCAGGCCTCAGGGTCCCGGGGCCGCTGGGCCTCGCGTCGCGGGCTCGACTCGGGGCGGCCGAGGGACGCGGGCCGGCCACCGGGGGCGGCCCCGCGGGGCCTCGGGGCGCTGCGGCAGCCCGCGTGGAGCGGGGTCGCCGGGGGGCGTGGCGGTGGCACCCGGGCCTGCTGTCGGCCCGCCCGAGGCCGAGCTGCCCAGCCTGCCGGGGAGGGGAGTCCCGGCCCCGGCGGCGACCCACGCCCCTGCCTACCCACCCACCACGGGAGAGATGGCTTACCTGTAAAATAGGAGTCTCGTGGAATTTCCTGTCCAGCTTACTGGCATGTGGTCTTTCAAGGCTGGGGGATGAGCTAGGACACAAAACCAACGTCCTTATCCGGGTGCGGGTGGCTCACGCCTGTAATCCTAGCTACTTAGGCTGAAATCCGGAGGTTGGAGATTCAAAGCCAGCCTGGGCACGTACTTCGCGTTCACTGCATACTTGATTAAGAAGAGGAGGTGAGCTGTGGGAGGCCGGGATTCAACCATTACACACTGGTGAATCGTCACTACCTAAAACAATACCTGTAAGAAACACTCGATAATTAATAGCAGACAGGATTGCTTAGGTAGGTGGTGATAGTGGTGGTGATGATGATGATGACTAATGTTTATTGAGCATCTGCTATGAACCAGACACTGTTCAGTTCTACCTCTATAGCGAAGGTTTAAGGAGGTTAAGTAACTCGCTCAAGGCCTCGCTAACTACTAATCAGTCAGGTAAACACCAGCCCTGTTGTAAGGTTGAGGAATTGGAAACTCAAAAGGGCAGGGGCAGTGTCCTAGGTCAACACAGCCAAGAATGAGTAGGGTGTGGTATTCAAACTAGATCTTGACTTCAAAATTGGAATTGCTTCCCAAATCTGAGTTAAATATGGTTTCACATGCTTTTATAAGTAGTGTAAAACCGGTGTGCTGGACAGAAGTAAAACTAGAATGAAGTCTCCTAAAAGCATATTGTGTTCTATATTCAGCAGGTTATCTGCTCCCTTCTCCTCGCCCTACAGGTGGACAAACAGGCCCATGCATGTAGTGGGACTTACCTAACCTGGACAGCTAGGGCCTGAATGTTGGGTCAGTACAAGTCCCAAGACAGAACACTACCTTCTGATTGTGTCCTCCGACAGCTCACTGCCTCCAGTGTAGCAGAATCTCATCTCACCTTACTACAAGAGCTGTGTCTTTTCACTCCATTGCTCTTTTATCTCCAAGCAGAATATGTAATTAGTAAATGTCTATCTTTGAGTTGGTGAGAGAGACAGAAACAGCCAAAGTATTCCTATATTCCTTCAGGATATATAGAGCTAAGACATAGAGAGGCATATCATTGTAATGAGTCATCTAATATTCAGGGTTGGTAGGATAAATGTTCCTATTCTACAGGTAAACTGGGCTTCAGAAACCGTGACCCATAGTTTCTGATTTTTGACTAGAAAAACTTAAGGACGAGTCTGAGCATACTGCCCAGAGTGGAACCTGGCTCCACTCTTTACTAACTGTAGCTTGGGCAATTTTCTTAACCTTCTCGTTGTTTCTCTATCAACTGTAGAATGAAACAGGAGTACTAATTGCATGGAGTTCTGTGGGGATTAAATGAATGAGTCCATGTAGAGTGTTTTGAATAACCTAGCACATCAATAAACACCCAATAAATAGATAGATTTTACTTCAGAAGAATGTCTTTCACCTCACTCTTACCTTTTCTCTCCCCTTAATGGGTAGAATTTGACTAACAGTTGGCTAATTATGTTTCTGCCTAATTCTTTGTGGTCCTGGTTATAAGTCCTTTGTGCTCAAAGTAATATGTATTAGGTGAAAGACTGTTGAAGGGTCCCAAGGTACTACCTTTCTGTTTCAGATTGCACTAGCGAGCTTTTATGAGGACGGAGGGGATGATGACATTGTGACCATTTCACAGGCAGCCCCCAGTTCAGTGTCCAGAGGCACTGCCCCCAGGTAAGGGCCAACTTCAGTTGCTGTTACATTAGTGTTTCCAGCAGTGATGAGGAACTCTGTTCTGATTTGATTAGGTTAGCCCTGCTTGTATGAAGCAGGAAGTTCCTGGGTGTGGTTATGGTTTAATTCTGGGAGGAAGACCAGGACTTACTTTTAAGGTTCTGGGGGGACCTTTCACTTACAGATCATGAAGAGTGGCTACTACATTTCTGTAAGGAGTCATCTAATATTCAGGGTTGGTAGGATAGATTTTCCCATTATACAGGTAAAAACTGGGCTTGAGAAACTGAGCGACCCATGGGCTGGGAAGGTGGCTCAGTGGTAGAGAGCTTGCCTTGCATGCCTGAGGCCCTGGGTTCGATTCCTCAGCACCACATAAGCAAAAAGAAAAAAGGCGGAAGTGGCACTTTGGCTCAAGTGGTAGAGCACTAGCCTTGAGCTGAAGAGCTGAGGGACAGTGCCCAGGCCCAGAGTTCAGGCCCCACGACAGGACCAAAAAAAAAGAAACTGAGCAACCCATAGTTTTTTTGAGTAAGAGCCAAAGGCAGTCCTTTGGAGGTGCTATAGAGGTAAAAAGTTAGGGCTGGTGAGTACGAACTTCATTTGTGGTTTAGGATGCCTGCTACCCTGTAAAGAATCCCGTACAAATAAATTTGTATGACCAACCCTTATTAGATGAGTTTTATTAATCTTTGGGATTTTTTTTTTTTTTTACTTCACTTTTCCTGACCTCTGCCTCCCATGGAGATCACTATTGATCTATAGTATAGAACAGTGCTAGTCTTCCTGCAGACAAGCAGGACCTCCAACAGATGTCTGAACTTGGGATATCCCGCCTTGCTTCAGCCCATTATTTCTTGGGCATATGTTTTAGCAGAGAAGGGGTGTGTGTGTGTGTGTCTGTGTGTGTGTGTCTGTGTGTGTGTCTGTGTCTGTGTGTCTGTGTGTGTGTCTGTGAGTGTGTGAGTGTGTGTCTGTGTGTGTGTGTCTGTGTGTGCGTGTGTGTGTGTGTCTGTGTGCGTGTGTCTGTGTGTGTTCGATATGTTTTAGCCACAGAGAGAAGGGGGGTGTGCCTGACCTCACACTGTTGCTCAGCTTTTACCACTCAAAGCTGCCACTCATCACTTGAGCCACACTTTCACTAGTGGCTTTTTGCTGGCTAGTTGAGATAAGAATATCTTAGATTTGTCTGATTTTGAATGGTGATCCTCAGATCTCAGTTGAAACTTAGTCTCTAATACCAGTCACTTGCTTACTTCTCTCTTCCAGTAATCCCAAAGTCCTGTCATGGCAGTAATTTATTAGAGAAAGGGCAGGCCCAAGAGCCTGGTTGCCCAGGTTCAAATCCAACTCTGCCACCACAGTTTTGTGATCTTGGGGAGTTTCCTTACTTCAGTTGTTCAGCTTTCCTGAAAATGGTAATCTGCCACATGGCAAATGACATGAATTAATACTTACAAAGCACTTAGTACTGTGTGTCTTGTGAAGGAGATACAATTTAACATTAATCCTGGAAGGAGCAAGAGACTGGACACACATTCAGACCTAAAGACCTTGCCTTATCACTTTGGTCATACCTTAGATTTGGTGGTGATCTTGGATAAAGCCAAAACAAAGGAGTGGGGAGGACGTAATTGCTTTTTGCCCTGTCTACAAGGAACTGACTCCATTCTCAGGAGAGGTGAAGCAGGTTAAGGCTGCTGATCTCTCTCTATTCCCTGTGCCATCTTCTCACCATTTTTTCAAGTTGTTACTGCTTCTGCAGAACAGTACCCAGTCAGCAAGCTCCTCCTTCGAATGGAGCGTCTGGCCCCCTAAGAAGAGAGTAGAAAGGGCAGGAGAAGATGTTTAGATTACCTGAAACTGTAGGTGTGCATGTATATATCACATTGATTGATCTCTCTTCCTTGACTCTTGGTCCTGCTTTCACTGTGATGTTCTCTCGTCTCATTTGCATATGCAGCTTTCTGTGAGGCTATACTTACTGTCCCCTTTCCTCCCTAGCCCTACCACCTTTCACCCACCCAATTGCTTGCCTGCCATCCAAACATGATGTTTTTCTGATGTGTCCCCTCTCAACACAACCCTGAATAAGAGATTTGAGAATCTTAGTGTCCATGAGACCTGGTGTATTTCCTCTGTGACCGCTCCTATTCCTGAGCATTACAGTGGATAGCTGCCTGGCCACCTGTGACCACCAGCCTGTGAGAACTGTGCTGGGTTTCAGTTCCAGTAGTCAGTTCAGTCCCAGGCATATAAGCATTTCATCAGGACTTAAAACTAGTTAGTGGTAAACAAGTGATCAGAGGCTACCCCATTTCACCACTCCTAGAACAGCCCAGATGCTACTGCACCTCAGCACTTTCTAACGTATGCTCGCTCAGTCCTCGGGACTCAAAGAAATAAATGCCACATCATTTTGGTTATAAACTTAGGGGGCTTTGCCTTCCAAACACATGCTCTTCTCACCCACCAGCTCACACAGATTCTTACCCTTAGTATCCTCATTTAGTAGCTAACAATGGACATTACCTTTCTTTTAACTCTTCCTGAAATAATTTTGTTCCTTTCTGTCTCTAGTGATAATAGGGTGACCTCCTTCAGAGACCTTATTCATGACCAAGATGAAGACGAGGAAGAAGAGGAGGGCCAGAGGTAAGTCTGTTGGGAGCCCTCAGGAAGTCCACAGTAGTACCTTAATGGCCTAGAACAGGACATGGAACATGTGCTGTTACAGTTGGCCATTGCTACTGTAGGAGCGATACACTACTAGTCGCTGCAGCTTACTTGTGATCCCCGTCCCTGTGCTTGTTTTATTTTGTCATGTTCTCAGTTGGTTTGTTTTAGGGTTTTTGGGGGGGTTGTTTTTAGTTGCTAAAATACAGAGAAATATTATTCATGGAAACCAGTAAGAAAGGAGAAGTCATTCCACAACCCAGACATAAGCTTGTGTTTATACTTTTGGTGTATTTCTTTCTAGCTTTTACTTTTTAAAATTATTTGTATATGTTCGTGCACTCCACTCCTGCAGCTTGAAATTAGGGCCTGAATACTGTTCTGAGCTTTTGTGCTCAAGGCTAGCACTTACTTGAACCATAGCTCCGTTTCCAACTTTTTTGATAGTTAATTGGAGATATGTGTCTCATGGAGTTTCCTGCCAGGCTGGCTTTGAGCCACAATCCTTGTATCTTAGCCTCCTGAGTAGCTAGGATTGCAGGCATGAACCACTGGCACTTTTTTATAGGATAAAACAATACAAAAGTAGAATAATAGCCTTATAAATATACATTCCCCCAACACACCCGTACTGTTTTTATTTGTAGGAACATCATAATAAAATTTATGTTTACTGTGGAAAGTATAGTTTAGTATAATGGAAAAGTAACATTCACTTACAGTTTAGTAACTGTAGTTAATATTTGGTATATTCTCATTCTACCTTTGTTCTATGTATAAATACACTTGGTTTTATATGCTGGGTGTAATTACATGATAAAAATATTTTTTGTAGCCAGCCACTGTGGCTCACACCTGTAATCCTAGCTACTCAGGAGGCTGAGATCTGAGGATCACTGTTCAAAGCCAGCCCAGGCAGAAAGTCCATGAGCCTCTATAACTCCAATTAATCACCAAAAAACCAGAAGTAGCATTGTAGCTCAAAGTGGTAGAGTGCTAGCCTTGAGCAGAAAAGCTCAGGGACAGTGCCAAGGACCTGAGTTCAAGCCCCATAATCAACAAATACTTTTTTTCTCCCCTTTGGCTGGATAATACTCCATAAACATTCTCAGTAGCTATAATAATAATTCATCAAACAGGATGTCCAGCATTTAGGTAAGTTTTAAAATTTGACTAAAGACCTTTTAGTCTATCAGGTAGAATAGTATCTAATAGGATTGAACGAGAACAAACTGGTTATGGCTTCATTTCATGGGTTTGGGTTCTTGTCTGTCTTGTTCTGTCCAGCATTCTTTGGGACCATAATACTATAATCATTGGAAATGGATTTATCTCACAGTGGTCAGTGTATGAAAAGTGGGCAGAGAAATTACATGTGTTCTCTGTTTGCATCCATATGGTAGACTTCACACTACCTCAGGAATATATAATAGGAATGTATTTTAACGTTTTACACTCCTTGGGTGAAAGGCATTATCATCAAGTAGGTGAACGTCCACCTCCAAGTGACCTTCTCCACCTTTTGCCAGGCCACATTCTCCAACCTATGACCCCCTCTTGGTTCACAGTCCCATCTTGAAACAACTCTCACTCTCGTCTCTGTCTGGGCCCAAGCTTTGCCAAATTGAAGGAATTGGAGATCGACTATTACAAGTTTTACTCTCCCCACTAGGGCATCTACTGTTGACTTAGCACTAGCAGACACCAAGAGTGATAGGAGGCAATTAGTTATATGACAGCTCAGTCTCAGACCCAGGCGAAGTCCTAACTATGTCTCAAACCAGTCTTAGCCTATTACAGCACCCAGTGTGGTGTTGAGTCTTGTATTTGAGTGGGAACTTTCCTGCCTTCTCAATACTGTCTCCTCCAGGCACTCAGTATGTCACAGAATGGCAGTGGGTAGTGAGTCTCGCAAGGGCTCTTAGTATTGTCACACTGCCTCACATGTACATTCCTCTGCTTATTCTTTTGCATCCATCTGCTGATTTGAACTTGACGACCTTCACTTAAGGAGCAGGTAGGTAGGGCATGTGAAATCCTTCCCATGTCAAAGAAAGGAGAGTGTTCATAGCAGATGACATAGTGGTAGAGCCAGGACTTGAGCCTAGCTGCTTGTATTAACTATTCCACTGCCACCATTGATCCAGAGCTGCTAGGGTAGCTGCTTCTGACTAGGGCCTCATTTGCTGTCCCTGGAGAAGTGCTGGCCTCCAGATGGATGGTCCCCACTGGTACTCTCCTGAGCTAACATGCTGATATGCGTGCCTGGAATGCCTTTCTCCATCCTTCATCTCATAATCTCATCTTAGACTAGCCTAGTAGATACTCTCTTGGCAGCTTTGGCAGTCTTTCCATGCTCATTGTGCCCAGAGACTTTACTGACTTCATGGCTGCTCACATTGCATTGTGCCTGCCTCCCTCCTTAACATGTGTATCCAGCTAGCTGGTAACTTCCTTGAAGATGAGCATCGTACCCTTTGCTTCAATGTGCCCTTGCCCAAAACTTGGTGCATGTGCTATTCATTTCCTAAGTGCATTTGGTTGCTGTTCATGTTTTGGTGTTAGAAGTCTGTTTTCTACACAGGTTTTATGCTGGGGGATCAGAGAGAAGTGGACAGCAGATTGTCGGCCCTCCCAGGAAGAAAAGTCCCAATGAGCTGGTGGATGATCTCTTTAAAGGTGCCAAGGAGCACGGAGCCGTAGCTGTGGAGCGAGTGACCAAGAGCCCTGGAGAGACCAGTAAACCAAGAGTGAGATAGGAGTCATTGTCTGTGCCCATACCACTCAGTTCCTAGGAAGGCTACTTCGAGCCAAGGACTGATTTGTCTGTTTTCTCATGTGTTCACTGGTTTCCTATGTAGAAGATGGGTCGTTTCTTTCACCCTTTTACAGGGAAACACAGTTAAGGGCAAAATTTCTAAATCTGTGACCTAAGTCCAGAAAAGGTCCTGAAAACATGTTTGCTTTGTCCTACTCATTATGATTAATTCAGTGAATGCTTTGCTTCATTTTGTTTGAATTGAAGTAATCACTACCAATTTATATGTAAAATCTGAGTATTTGATGTTGGTAAAATATAAAAGTCTTTAGTGTTGTACCCAAATTCTTCCATGGCCATAATTAACTGTTACTTAGTGGCAGGTATTTCCTTTAGCTGGGCATCTTTGCTGTTTGCAGCTTTCACCCCAGTCCTGGCCACTTGATTCATTTACCATACTCCTGGCCTTAAGGCCCCTTGAGTTTGATTTCCACTGGTCAGGATCCTCGTTCTCTTTCCTCACTTAAAATGCATCACCGTATGAGTGATAAGCACCACCATATGTTCATGAACTCTTCTTTGACAGCCATTTGCAGGGGGTGGCTACCGCCTTGGGGCAGCACCAGAGGAAGAGTCTGCCTACGTGGCAGGAGAAAGGCGGCGGCATTCCAGCCAAGATGTGAGTGGGCCCCTCCCTTTGGTAAAGAAGCAGTGGCTTGTGCATGAACCAGTGACCTCTGAGAGAGGCCTACAGAAACTGTTCTTGCTATGGTCTCAACAGGGGCAGTCCAGGGAAGGCTAAGGCATCTAATCTGCTGTGGGAGGGTGTGGTGTGGCTGGTGAAATGGGGTGGGGAAGGTACAGATAAATGAAGGTTTCTGAGCATTCCACAGGTCTCAGGCAGAGGGACAGTGTATGGTATGGGCCTGGTTGAAGAACTTGACATTCAGAACACCAGATTAGGCCTAAAACACTTTTTGTTCATCTGTTTTCCTAATGTCCAGGACTTTTTTCCTGTGGAAGTACATAAGGTCTCTCCTCTTACAAGTGCAATCATACTGTAAAAAAATTTTTTTTTTGTGCCGGTTCTGGGGCTTGAAATCAGGGCTTGATCACTGTCCTTAGCTTTTTCCTCAAGGCTAGTGTTTTACTACTGGAACCACGGATCTCGCCTTTTTTTAAATTTTAACAGTTAATTAGAAATAAGAGCTTTGCGGACTTTCCTATCTGGACTGGATTCAAACCTAGATCCTCAGAGCTCAGCCTCTTGAGTAGCTAGGATTACAGGCAGGAGCCACTGGTGCCCAACTAATTTTGAATCTTTTTAAAAAAATACTTTGGGGATTTATTCCAAAGTAAAAGGAAATAGGCTGAAAACAAATCTTACTCCCTTGTGGCAGCAGCTACCAGGGTTGTTAACGGAAATTGTAGGTACCTTTTCTTTTTTATTTTTTTTATTATTATGAAGGTGATGTACAGAGGGGTTACGTACAGTTACATAAGTCAGGTAAAGAGTATATATTTCTGGGGTTGGGAAGGTGGCTCAGTGGTAGAATGCTTGCCTTGCATGCATGAGGCCATGGGTTCGATTCCTCAATACCACATAAGCAGAAAAAGCTGGAAGTGATGCTGTGGCTCAAGCGGTAGAGCGCTAGCCTTCAGCTGAAGAGCTGAGGGACAGTGCCCAGGCCCAAAGTTCAGGCCCCGCAACTGGGAAAAAAAAAAAAGTATTATTTCTTTTGGGACAGTACCATCCCCTTCCCTTGCTCTTGCCCAGTTTTTCCCTCCCATCCCCACCCACAGGTTGAATAGTTCCTTTTCAACATAGTGTCTAGTGAGTACCATTGTACATTCCTAGCTGGGCTGACTTTGAACCACAATCCTCAGATCTCAGCTTCCTGAGTATCTAGGATTACAGGCATGAGCCACTGGCACCCGGCTGTAGGTACCATTTTTAATGACTGAAAATAGCCTAGGAGTAGTCTGGCTATGGCAGATGAGTAGAGTACTAGCTGCATACATGGACTGGCAGCCCTACAGATAAGGGAACCGTAGCTTTGATTGGGGCACCCACTCACAGCCACCCAGCTAGCAAGTCCCAGTGAAGACACAAACCCAGGTCTTCATAAAGCAGTGCCAGTGCTCCTCAACTGTACCACATTCCTTCCTATTCTCAGCTAGTGCTGGTTGGTGGGGTGGTCATGTTTCATTTGCATGCATGTGTATATTCGTATGTATGCTTGCCTATTAGTGTTTGAATGCTGCATAGCTGATAATAGTTTGTAAGTTCAAGTTGATGGGTTGTCAGGTTCCTGTCATTACATTAATGGCTCTCACTGCCGTCGTCACAGGTTCATATTGTGCTGAAGCTCTGGAAAAGTGGATTCAGCCTGGATAATGGTGAACTCCGGAGCTACCAAGACCCATCCAATGCCCAGTTTCTGGAGTCTATCCGCAGAGGGTGAGCAGAAAGGCCTTCTTTTTTGTCTTGAGTTAGTGAATGTCATGGCAAGTAGGAAGAGAGAAGCTGAACATTTATCATAAGGTTTTTGAGTTAGTACAGTCAAATACATATTCATGGGCCAGTTTCAGAAACTTTATTCCTATCGGTCATGGGGCTTGAACTCTGGGCCTGAGCCCTGTCCCTCAGATCTTCAGCTCAAGGCTAGCACTTTACCAGTTGAGCCACAGCAACCACTTCTGGTTTTCTGGTGGTTTATTGGAGATAAGAGTCTCATGGACTTTCCTGCCCAGGCTGGCTTTGAATCATGATCTTCAGATCCTCCTGAGTAGCTAGGATTACAGGTGTAGCCATGGCACCTGGCTTAGTTTCACAAACTTTGTGTCCATTTTTCCCTTTGGACCTAGAGCCAAGTGGCAAAGTAAGAAGTATTTGCTGTGGTGGAACAGGAAAGAGAGAAATGGAGCCTCTCCATGACTGGCTAGCAGTAACTTCCCTCTAGAACAGAGTTTTCCCCTTTCTGGCATTTTTCCATCCTCACTGTGAACCCCAGCATTGCTTTTTTTTTTTTTTTTGGCTGGTACTAGGTCTTGAACTCAGGACCTAGGCACTGTCCCTGATCCTCTTTGTGTTCAAAACTAGTACTCTACCATTTGAGCCACAGCACTACTTCTGGCTTTTTCTGAGTAGTTTACTGGGAGATAGACATCTCACAGACTTTTCTGCCTGGGCTGGCTTCAAACCGCAATTCTCAGATCTCAGCCTCATAAGTAGGTAGGATTACAGGCGTGAGTCACTAGTACCCAACCTAACGTTACCTTTTGTCTCACAGGGAGGTGCCGGCAGAGCTGCGGAGGTTAGCTCATGGTGGGCAGGTGAACTTAGACATGGAGGACCATCGGGATGAGGACTTTGTGAAACCCAAAGGAGCCTTCAAAGCCTTCACTGGAGAGGGCCAGAAACTGGGCAGGTAAGAACATGGCTTGAGTTGTGTTGTTTCTGCGTGTTACAGTGCTTCCATTCTGGCAGGAGTTAACTTGACAGTTGGAAAAACTTCACCTGTTTGCCAACACCAAGAATACACTTGAGGGTGAGGACACTGCTTCTGGGTGAGACTTGGTTGCTTGCCAGGCCTTCTGCAGTGGTTGTTTTTGTGAAGGACATGGCTGAGTCCCAGAATTGTAATTGGGACAGTTTATTCCATTGTGAAGACAATTAGCACTTTGTTGACTGAAGCTCTTGTTGTGAGAAAGGCTGGTTTCCCGTGACTCAGTGTTTGCAAGGAGACTGCTGGTTGTGGAAGTCACCTCTGACTTTCTTGCTTCTGGGTGGATCGTCCTTACTGCGGCAGATAGCCAAGTCTTTGGGGAGACCACCAGTTCTTTGGGGAGACCAGTGGCCCGGAGGGACAGTATTCAAGAAGACCAGACTTAGTCCTGTCCTTGGTGTGTCCTACCAAATGAATAGAGTGCTGGTGCTCTTACTGAGGAAGCAGAAGCTCAGTGTGTCAGCTCTGCTCCTCTTCTCCCCATCCCCGCACAGGCTGGGAGCAACTCTCAGAAGGTGCTATGATGGTCATAGGTAGTTGGGAGCACCTCAGTGATTTGGGTCTCAGATTCACGTAAATAAAACAAGACAAGATCTTGGATAATGACAGCAAGCAGCTATTTGAGGGCTTGCTGCTATGTACAGAAAGAAACATTTCCATGTATTTATCTCCTTTAATCCTGTTTTTTCCCCATTCTGCAAGTAAGGACTGAGGCACAGTCAATGTCTAGCCTTGTCAGGGGTCAGATTGCTGGTAGTGCTGAGCTAGGCTCCCCGGCTGCTCTTGTTGGCCATTCTGTGTGTGGGTCTTCTGGATGTTCTTGCACAGCCTCTTGGTGCCTCTATTATATGCTGGGGTGGTATGTACTTTCAGTGTTTCCTCTACTGTCTTGGAGATTTTACTTTTTAATTGATGAGTTTTCTGGAATTCTGTCCTACTACCCTTCAGATCAATACTGGGTTCTTAGGCAAGATGTTTCTTGTGTTTTGAAACAAGGTCTTAACTGTGTTACAGTGCAGGGTAGCCTCAAACTCACTATGTAGCTCAGGTTGGCCTCAAACCTAACCACTAATGCTAGTATTATAGCTGTGGTGCCTTACAAATAGCTATTGGGCTCATTGTGCCATCCCACCTCCCCTTGTAAAAGAAATGGTAGGTGAGAGCACCACAGCCAGGTCTGTGCATCGGGCTTTCCTTGGCCTCACAGGGGTGAGAGCAGCTCTGCTGGAAAGGGAGGCCCATAACGTTCAGCATGAAGGACTTCCTCCGTGTCTGCTCCTTTGCCAGGCCCTCTGCCCGTGTCCTCTCTCTGATCCTCCCAGCCAAACAGCTTGTTTTGTATAAAAACACAGAAGCCTTAGAAGTTGTGTGACTTGCTCTAGGCCACTCTGCTACTTCAGTGGTGGAGCTTGGGCCAAATGGCTGGCAGTACCACTACAAAGGTTAGTGGTGGCCGCCACTCATTGGGCAGCCTGCTCTGAAAGGTATGCAAGGTGAGGACTAGATCTCTATTTACAATAGAGGAAGGGTGAGGTGTAGGAACTACTACCATTCAGTAGAGAATTTGGGGGCAATCTGTTCACCTAACAGCCTCTCCTCTCTCAGAGGTCATCTGCTAAGAGAAAAGCTAAGAACACGGTAGCTAGGTGGTTCATAGGGGAGACTTCCAAATGGCTATAGAGAGTTGGGTAGTGTATGTGGACTTCATGTTTGTCAGCCACTCTCTGTTTTATATCATTCTCTAATCCTCACGAAAAGGGAAGTAGGTAGACTCTTCATCCTTTTAAAAGCCCCTTATTGAAGCTAAGGGAGTTTGAAGCAGTAGCTAAGAGCACACAGCTAGTTGGTGGTCTTAGGTCCTGGTCTGATCGTAAGATCTGAGCTGTAAGCTGGCAGATCTCCATTTGTTGTATAATTAATACATACACAACTTGGCCCTTAATTAGTCCCCAGGAATTCTTGTCCCCTCACCCCCATGGTTGGCACATAAGTATGCAGTCTACACTATGGGATGCCACCCTGAAGAGTGCATCACAACCAGTCACCTGCAAAGCTGTGTTAAGGCTGCCGAGGCCACAGGCTTGGACCCTTCAATCACTTCATGGAGCCTGGACTTATCTTGGTCCCCTGGGCCCTTCAGCCTCATGGCCTGTTCTCTGCCACCCCAGACCCTTGATCAGGTGGAGACACTAAGGAAGAAAGGAAGTTAAGAGCTGACCCAAGGCTCCTCCTGAGGAAGCAGTTCTAACAAGTGACTCAGGGGTGAGGGAAATTCTTCTGGGTTCCATCTGTCTGCTTCAAGTCATTATGTGGCTCACCAAACAGGGTCATGTGCAGGACAGCCATTCAGTAAACATCAGAGTAAGGGCTGCCTGCCGGGGTCTGGTTTTTGCTCCTGACCTGATGTGCTCCCTTTTTCTCAGCACTGCCCCCCAGGTGTTGAATACCAGCTCTCCAGCCCAGCAGGCAGAGAATGAAGCCAAAGCAAGTTCTTCCATCTCAATTAACGAGTCAGAGCCCACCACAAACATCCAAATCCGGCTTGCCGACGGAGGGCGGCTGGTGCAGAAATTTAACCACAGCCACAGGTACCTTGTGTTTTCTGGCCTAGCTGATGCTAGCAGTGTCTCTGGCACAGGTGTGGGAAGTTGGTATGGGTAATTTGTGCTTTTCCTGAGCAGTGGGGTGGAATGTCTGCAGGTCTGAAGCCCATGGTACCAGTCCCCACTCACCCATCACAGTAGCCAAGGACTGCTCTTCCCTCCTGTGGGTCTCATTCTTCATCTCAGGTTCAAGCCCTGAACTCTGTCCAAAACAAATCTTAGGCTAAAGCCCAGGTACCAGTGAGACCTAATTAGAGCTGCTATAGCTGACAGGGGAGAGGAAATACAGTGCCCACACTTAACCAGCTGACTTTCTCTCACATCCTCCCTTCAGGGGCCTTTGGAAACCACTAGATTATAAGTTTTTCCTGGAATTGGTCTTTGAGAATCCTGCTGTGTTGTCCCAGGCCATCTGAGGTGGTCAAGGCAAACTGCTTCCTCTGTTTTAAAGATAGGGAAACTGAGGCACCAAGAAGTAAAGAGACTGGTGTTTTTTAGAGGGCCGTTGCCTGTGAAGGCAACTCCTTTCTCTAGAACAGAATAGAGTGGCTAAGCTTCATCAGTTGTGAGCTAACCAAGCCAGGACCTATGTGTGGGCCAGTGACAGGTTTCACAGCTGTTACGTGTTAGCCAGGCTCAGGGTAAAGGTATGAAACAAGATAGGGATGAGGCCAGGAGCACAAGGAGGCCTACTGGACTTTTTCTAAAGGGGTGACATGACCCAGCTCACTGACCTGAGATGCTGCCTCACTCATCACCCAGCATGGCTGCTGCTCACCCGAGGTGCAGCCTGTACAGAGTGGAGGAGGGAGAGAGCAGGACTACATTCCATACATTGTACAAAAGCAAGAGGCTGTTGGAGGGAGGTGGCTATCCTGCCATTGCAAAATTGAGGTCATAGGCACCTTGGTAGATAAAGGGATTCCTGGACAGCTTGCTGTCATTGTCCTGTGCCATTCTGGTCTACTGAAAGAGACAGTAGTCAATGATTGCCTGGAATTGTTTGCTTCCAATTCAGTGCCCTAGAACAGGGGAAATGCTGCCCTGTGGAAGTGTGGTCAAGATTAGAGGAAAGGAGACAGGGCTTACAGATCTGCACAGCAGAGGGTAGCTTGATGAAGCACTAAGTAAAATGAGAGAAGAGAGAATGAAGGAAGGAGGCCTTGGACACAGTAGGAAGTTGGGAGCTTTCCACATGGGAGTGTGGCTAGTCTGTGATGCTTTCTGGTGACAGCTTTGCCAGCTCTGGAGGAGTAGGCAGAGAGGGGGCTTTGTAGGTAGTCATCCTTCCTCCCCAGGGTGGGAGCTGTGGGCATCAGCAAAGGACTCTGTTCACTGCTTCCCATTTACCCCTTCTCCAGGATCAGCGACATCCGGCTCTTCATTGTGGATGCCCGGCCAGCCATGGCTGCCACCAGCTTTGTCCTCATGACTACCTTCCCCAACAAAGAGCTGGCTGACGAGAGCCAGACCCTGAAGGAAGCCAACTTGCTCAATGCTGTCATCGTGCAGCGGTTAACATAACTGCCCGGCCAGCCTCCCCTCTCTCCTGTGTTTCCCATGGCCAGCAACCATGCCTGTGGGGACACCCTCCTGCCCCTCCTGCATACCCAGCAGTCCAGTGCCACGTCTCCTCCGTAGCTCTGGGTTCTTAGACTTTGGTTGGACATTTGTTTTTTTTTTTTTTCCTTAGTTGCGTTTCTCGAGTTTTTGTGATGATCAATGGACTTTAAAGAAAAAAAAATAAAAAGAACCAAAAAAACTGAAGGGCTGTCACCACATGTTGTATGAGTATCCACAGAGGCAGCTTGATAAAGTCTTGCTTATCTTGAAGATGGGGACCTTTAGCTTTTGTAAAAATCTTTAGGTGCATGCTGCTCACCTGCTGGCATAGCCTTCCACCACCCCTAAAGGTGGCTTGTGGGGATCCCCTTCCTAGGGAAGGAAGTGGGGAGATAGGGGTTGCGGCTTTGTAGCTCTCATTCCACAGGAGCACACTCCCCCTAAAGTGTGAGGGCAGACCTGGATGCACACAACCAGACACTGCTGGGCCTGCACCCGCCAAGGTACTGCCCTACCCACCCCGCCCTGTTCTCACCAGCTCTCCCTGGTGACTCAGTTGCTGTCGTTGCTTTCTGTGTACAGTTCAGCCCAGAAGAACCAAAATGCCACTGAGCTGTTCACCAGTGATCTGGGAGTGGGTGTCCTCTGCCATAGCACCTCTGTTGGTGTCTGCTAGAGCTTTCAGTCAGACAGCTGAGGTGAATGTGGCATGAGCCTTTGGCTATGGTGTATACTTTTTCTCTCCCCACTTCTGACCAGTGCCTTAGGCTGCAGTTCTGGCCTGGTAAAGACCCTCTACCTGGCAGTTTGCTTCCTTGCTCAGGTCAGGGGTGGGGAGCCTCTTTCACCTTACTGTAATGACCCAGGAGTGAATGGATCCTTGATACTTACCATGTTCCCAGCCTCCTGTCCTCAGCCATTTACTTTTCTGCATTACTCACTCCAATCCAGGACCCTGCACAGGAGTGTACTCAGCTGCAAAGACTCATCCTGAGAACAGGCCTTGGCTTGATGCTTCCAGCCCAACAGCCACAGCAATTGCCTCCCATGTTTATTGCAGCAAGGTGGAGGTGACTGGAAAAACAAAATTGTCATCTTGACTATAAAAACCAGAATAAGAGTTGGATGCCAATGAGATCTGAGGATCACAGTTTGGAGCCAGCCTGGGCAGACAAGTCTGACTCTTCATAGATAACTATCAAAAAGCTGGAAGTTGCCGGGCACTGGTGGCTCACGCCTGTAATCCTAGCTACTCAGGAGGCTGAGATCTGAGGATCGCGGTTCAAAGCCAGCCCGGGCAGGAGAGACCTTGAGACTCCTATCTCCAATAAACCACCAGAAAACCGGAAGTGGTGCTGTAGCTCAAGTGGTAGAGTACTCGCCTTGAGCTGAAGAGCTGAGGGACAGCGCCCAGGCCCAGAGTTCAAGCCCCACGACCGACAAAAAAAAAAAAAAAAAAAGCTGGAAGTGGAAGAGTACCAGCTGTGAGTGGGAAAGTTGAAGCTCCAGTACTAGCAAACATAAAAAAGACCAGGAGCCAGGTACTGGCTCACACCTATAATCCTAGCTACTCAAGAGATCGAGATCTAAGGCTGATGGTTCAAAGCCAGCCCAGGCAGAAAAGTCCACAAAACTGGAAAGGAAGCTGTGGCTTAAGGTAGTAGAGTGCTAGTCTTGAGCAAAAAAGCTCAGAGACAGCACCCAGGTCTTGAGTTCTAGTCCCACAACCAACAAATTTTTTAAAAAAGCCAGGCGTCAGTGGCTTACACCCGTAATCCCACTTTCTCAGGAGGCTGAGATCTGAGGATCGTGGTTCAACGCCAACCTGGGCAAGAAACTCTGTGAGACTATTATCTCAATAAACCACTCAGAAAATCAGAAGAGGCGCTGTGGCTCAACTGGTAGAGCACTTGCCTTGAGCTTAAGAGCTCAGGGATAGTGCCCAGGCCCAAAGTTCAAGCCGCACGACCAACAACAACAACAACAAAAAGATGAGGTTTGCATATTTTATACTGAGCTCATTGCCTTTCTAAGTGCTATAGAGCTTCCCAATGCCTCACTTGGCAGTATCAACCTAATAGCCAGGGCACAATTGCTAAGTAATAAGGTGCTGCCTGGCAGCTCCTGGAACCCATGCTCAACACACCTACTCAGGCCCTGTGTACACCCTGACCCCTGGGGGCAACTGCAGGGTTCCCACATCACAGGGCAGGGGAACAGACTCAGCCAGTGAGGGAGCCTCAAGACTGCTAGCAACCTCAGAGACTCCACAGTGCCAGGCCTCTGCCTCATACCTGGCCACTTCAAGAGCAAGAGAGGCTGCTAGAGTAGAGAGAACTGAGCATTTAGAGGAGCCCTACACCCCAGGAGTCTGTAGAATTGCAGTGTCTCCTAAGGGCCAGAAGTAAACAAAGCAGCTGGACTAGGCTGTCTTGCATCCTGCTGTAGAAATGGACTTGGATAGAGGATGGTCCTTGGGTTCCACCACTCGAGAGAAGCAAGCAGTCAGGACCTCCAGGAGAATATGAGCCAGTGCTTCTAGCAGTGGACCAAGACCTGAAGATCCTGAAGACACCCCATTGCGAGGGTCAGAGCATCTTCCCAGCCACAAGAAGCCAAGAGTTGCTTTCCTACTCCTTCACCTCTCTGGCACCCTGGGCCTTGATATGGCAGAAGCTGTACCTTTAAGAGAAGTTCCAAGTCAACTGGCATGGGAATGAGGTGTGTTTTAATTTACATAATGTATGTACAACCTAAATATATCGTTTAAGTTGGTGTTTCTTTTCTACCTCATCCATTTGAGAGACACCCTTCCCTCCCCACAATGTAGTTCTTAGGCAGCCATCCTTCCTGACTTCCTGAATATAAACCAATAATTGATGCCTACTCTAAGACATTAAATTCCACTTTTACCTGAAGCCTTGAGAAGGACAAGCTCGAGACGATCACAGCACAGTGACACAGGGAAGCATGCAGTGCTCTTGGTTGTGTCTGAAGCAGCTGTGAGCAGAATGGTTACAGGAAGAGAGAAGGGAAGGCCCCAAGAGCTCTGGACAGATGGCCAGTTCCCCAACAGGATGGCAGGGCCCAGCACAATGCCTGGCACAATAATTAGTCATCATTACTAAAAACAGTTGACCCATTCCTGTGTTTGTCCAACAAGTATCTGCGTACAACTGTTGGGTAAGTGAATTTATGAATGGTGAATAGCTAACAATAGAACATCAGCTGCCATTATAAGCCCTGGCTACATGCCAGGTTCTAGTTTGCAGTCAGGTGAAGCAATTCATTTCATCTTAACAATGGCCCTGGGAGACAGGTGTGTTAATCCTGCTTTAGAGATGAGGCAGCAGGTTGTCTGGCTCAAAGCCAAACAGACATGGATGGGATTTCAATCTGGTCCAGGGAACTACAGACCTTTTGAATAATAGTACCATGGGATATTTTCCCTGGTGGCATACCCAGCTCCTTCCTGGGGCACTGTCGGGGCAGCAGTTAATCTCCATATGTGTTCAGCCTGTATGTGAGCCCCAACTTTGCCATTTTGCCTATGTAGTTTAGCTGTGCCTCAGTTTTCATCTGAAAAAATGACATTGGTGGTAGCAACACCTGACCTCCCAGATGTTGTAAGGCATTGAAGAGGTTGAAGGGCCTCTGGTGGCCCAGAGTCCTAGAGTAGGAACAGTTGGGGAAATGGAGCCGGTGGAGATAGCAGCATCAGAGGGCACCAATGTAAGCTGGACGCAGCCATTGGATGGCTAGAGAGATGACAGTGGTCAGGCACCCGGCTGGAGGGAATAGCAACTGGGGGGGCGGGGGGCGAGAGTCTAGAGTTTTCTCTAATGACCCCATAGGGCAGGCACTACAGGAAACAATGTACTGCTCCATTACTTCCTGTGAACCCCAACAAGACTGGAATTCTCCAGCCAGACTCTCCACCCCTCAGTCCTCATGGACAGCTAAGGCCCAGTGAGCTGCCTACTGGCATCCACTCATCCATCACCCCCACCAGTCTCCTCTTCCTACCTCACATGCAGCCCTCATGGGTGACAGTTGCATTGACCCAGCCCCAGAAACCCAGGCAGATTGAAGTGGGGGTGTTCAGGTCCTGGACATAGTCCCTAGCACCTGCAGAGACGTGAAAAAGGCACATGTTCTTTAGAACACCTTAAGTCTGGTGTTTGTGGGTGTGAAGTGAGTGTGAATCTGTGTGACAGCGAGCTTCAGTGTGTGTATGTGTGAGGGTATATCTGAGGTATGTGTACCTCCCAGGCAGCTCATTGGCAGGACATGAATGTGCACAAGGGCACTCAGCGTCACACAGAGGGCTGTCACACACCTGGCCAGGTGGCTTGAGGTCACAATCAGGCAGACACAGTGTCTTTAACTCAGATAGTGTTGTTTGCAATTTCTCTTGTGATTTGCACAGCAATGAAACCCCCCCCCCCTTTTTTTTTTGTCAGTTGTGGGGCCTGAACTCTGGGCCTGGGCGCTGTCCCTCAGCTCTTTAGCTCAAGGCTAGCACTCTACCACTTGAGCCCCCTCACCACTTCTGGCTTTTTCTGCTTATGTGGTGCTGAGGAATTGAATCCAGGGCCTCACGCATTGCAAGGCAAGCAATCTACCATTGAGCCATCTTCCTAGCCCGTGTCATTGTTTTTTGAGGGATATGAGTTTATTTTTTAAAATTGTGCCACACATTGGGCTGGGTAGGTGGCTCAGTGGTAGAGCGCTTGCCTTGCATGCATGAGGCCCTAGGGTCGATTCCTCAGCACCACATAAGCAAAAAGAAAAAAGCTGGAAGTGGCACTGTGGCTCAGGTGGGAGAGTGCTAGCCTTGAGCTGAAGAGCTGAGGGACAGCACCCACGCCCAGAGTTCAGGCCCCACGACCGGACCCAAAAACAAAAAAATTGTGCCACACTGATGCTGATGACTAGTATACATATATGATCATGGCTTTTCTCTTGAGATTAATATTGTGGTGTTTCTATATACTAAAATATTTCAATAGGACTAAGACCGTTAAGAGAATAAGGATCTTAGATGAAAATGGTCACTAATGGCTCTGGTGTTCTAACTCATGGAATGAATTAATTAATACTGAGCACCTGTGAATTATGTAGTATGGAGAGCACAAGGGTCTCTTAGAACTTAAGACTAATTCTTAGAACTTAAGACTAGTTCTCAATGAACTTAAGACTTC